TAAGTAATGCAACAATCAATCTCATGACAAGTTCGAACTTCGAACCTGGCTCAAGGTGAACGTTGGCAGCATTATACGTGGTGGCATACCTTAATGAGGAAGGAAGGATAGAAAGAAAGAAAAAAAGCAAAGAAATGAAGAAGAAGAAGAAAGAGAATAATATAAAAGAAAAAATAAGTGGTAATAGAGGAAGAAAAAAAAAAAAGGAAAATATTTCGCTATTATTTCATATTTATCATCCATTGCTAATATATTCTACTTATTTGCTTGCACATTATAACACAAAAGTCAAAATTAATACATATCCCCAAGTGTCATCACTAAGCCAAATGGGCCCCAATAGTCCATGATAACAGAAGTGCAGGCTATCACTACGCCAGATGTTGGAACAATAAGGTAATGGCAGGCCAATCTACTTCACAAGTTACTAGAATTCACTAAACCCCTAACAACCCATGATCTCGGTACATCGATCCCAAATAAAGTGAGTTCAGGATCTAGATCATCAAAATGTATAATCCCAAATTGTACACATAGCACAAATATAAAATACATATTAATTAACTACGTGTATTAGATTTATAATTATACATTTTTTTAGATAATAGAAAATCGAGCATAAATGTAAGATAAGTGGTAACTGACTTAGTAGTTATGGATATTCTAAAATATATAATGTTGTATAGTTGAGAAAACGATCTACATAAGAATTCTAAAATGAATTGCAACCCAAAATACAGTATCAGTTAAGTCTACCCCCATCGTACTGCATACTTAAGAAGTGTTGTACCGCATACCCGTATCTGTATCCATGAGCAAAGACAACTAAGAGCCAATGGACGCAGAGGCCCACCCAGCGAAAAAAAAAATTCTTTTAACCTATATGTATTTTTTATATTTTTTTGGTTTTATTGAATTAGAGCCCACCCGCGATACAAAAAAAAATTACCTAGACCCATTGCAAATGACGACCTTGCTACAAAAAAAATTGACAAAAAAAGATAGAATATATCCACTAGTTTATTTACTTGTGACTTTGATATTAATATTAACAATTGCAATTGTGATTGTCGAGAAGACATTTTTAACAATAAAAATTGTGAAGACTTTCAATGGATGACAGATAGCATGATTACTTATATAAAGAAATATTTTATTAATGGCATTAATAATGAAGTTATCATGCAACATTTTTGAAGTATAAAAAACTCATCGAATTCAAATTTAAATGGCTATAATTAGCCCCCTTTTTTGTAAAGACTAATAATTAAATATTTTTCTTCTTGTTTTTTCTTTGCATAGTGATGGCATAGTCATTGGTTGGTTGAACGAATACAATCAACTTTTGAAGCCTAAGAGAAAGACTAGGAATTTTTGGTCCAAAGGGAAGAGTAATTGGTAGTTTCATTATTATTATTTGAGTTATGATTATTTGTTTGCCTAGGAGTAATAATTAGAATTTCATTAGAAAATAATAATAGAGTTTTAATAGTACAGGAGTTTAAGAATTTGATTATGAAACTCTTTTAGAATTTTAGTAGGAGAATAATTTTTATTTTATTAGGGAACTTTGCCTATAAATAATGGCATAACTCCAACTATTTTTATTTTTTAAGAGAGTGATATAATAAAAAGTGTTTCTATGTAGAGAATTTTGTGTGTTTCTTAACCTAATCCTTACGAGAGTTTGGTGTCTCTTCTACTTTTTTCTATTACCTTATTTTTTCTTCTTTTGTCCTACATCAATTTGATATTAGAGTGAAACTTTAATCTACTAATTTCTTGCCAAGTTTTATTTTTTTGAACCTGAGTTTCTTGCCAAGGAACTATTCATTACCGATGGAAAAACAACAAAACAATTATAATTTTTATTCGTGCCAGATTCTTCGTCGTTGTAGCACGTCAGTGATTTGCATCATCATCGAAAAAGGCTTCAATCAGGTGGGTTGCCATTATTGTTAATATTCCCTATCTCACTTTTGGCTCCCATTGTTGCGGCTGAATTTTGGGGGTAAAAAAAACTCCTTATCTTTGAACCAGTACGCCAGTACCCAAAAACCAAACACTGTCCAGCCCAAAAATAATATATATATATATATATATATATATATATAGCCCAAACAATTCAGCCCAACATTACCCATCCGACCCAATCAGCCTGAAATAACACAAACACCCTCAAACCTTTCAAAATTACCGATCTAACCCCTAGAGTTTTTAAAATTACACTTTCATCCCCAAAAGTTTCAAAAATTACACTTTGGCCACAAAATTTTCTAAAATTACAATTTTTACCCCAAAGTTTCTAAAATTTCAGCTTTGCCCTAACGCTTTCTAAAATTATAATTTGACCCCAAAATTTTTAAAAGTCCCTATAACCTCTTTCATTAAGATGGTTTCCAGCGCCGAATTAAATGTTAAAGTGGAAGCTTTATTCCAAGTACAAGTTGATTCACAAAAGACCATGAATGAGAAGATGAATTCACTAGAGGCGTCTATAACATCACTAAAGGAGATCATGGAAGCTTATCTCTTAGATAAGAAGGGTAAAGGAGTCGAGAAAAAATGCCGATAATAGTCTATCATCTTTAGTCCTCAATACTCCACTGGCACTTGTACGAACCCCTCCACCACAAGCTCAAGTTCAAGAAGAACTGAGATTATTTGATATTGATAGAGGAGTTAAGTTAGAAGTTGGAGATTTTTATGGAGATAATAATCCCAAGATATTCCTTGATTGGCTGCATAGCGTTGAAAGCTTCTTCAGATGGCATCGTTTGACCGATGAGAATAAGGTATTCTTTGCAGAATCAATATTGAACGGTATAGAAAGACTTTAGTGGGAAAATTACCAACAAACTTACTTTAATAGATCATGGGATGATATGAAGACTGTTATAACTCACTACTTTGTGCTTGCTAATTATAAGCAATGAGTTCATCTATAGTTCACACAATTAAATCAAGGGAATATGTCTGTCGAGGAGTACACTAGAAAGTTCTACCACTTGGCCACCCGATCAGAGTTCCCATGGATTGCGGATGTGATGATTTTCATGTACAAGCAAGGTCTCAGTTCACAAATTTCTACGGGTTTAGCTACAAGTAGACTTTATACCATGACAGATGTTACCTATCAAATGGAAGATGAGTTAAAAAAGAGATATTATATGAGATCTTCTACGGCACCTCCAACTCGGATCGAGAGAACTNCAGTTAAGGTTACCTATCAAATGGAAGATGAGTTAAAAAAGAGATATTATATGAGATCTTCTACGGCACCTCCAACTCGGATCGAGAGAACTGTCATAAATGCAAATCAAGGTAAGTCCACCAATAAATCCCGAGAGAATACTTTTGCTCCAAATAAAACATCTCGAACTAGGACTAATTCTTCTTCTTAATGGAATACTAATTCTAAAACGAGGAGTTTTAATTGTCATGATTTTGGTCATCTCTCTTTTCAATGCCCTTCAAAANAAGAGAATACTTTTGCTCCAAATAAAACATCTCGAACTAGGACTAATTCTTCTTCTTAATGGAATACTAATTCTAAGACGAGGAGTTTTAATTGTCATGATTTTGGTCATCTCTCTTTTCAATGCCCTTCAAAATTTGTTGTTGTGGTTGAAAAGGAAAATTTCAAGGTGCATAATGATTCTAATGAACCAAAATTTGAAACAAAGATCGTAGAACCTCTTGATGTGGGTGAGGTAAATTTTGATGATTTAAATGATGATTATTTTGTGAATGTCCGTCCCCTACTTATTCCAAATAAAAAAGTTGCTAATGGTGAGTTTATTTATTGAAGAAAAATATTTCAGACAAGAGTTTGTTGTGAAGGACAGATATGCGCGTGAGTGATTGACACGACAAGTCCCACAAATGTGGTATCAGAAGAGGTCATGAAGAAACTAAATTTAAAAGTTGAACCATATCATGTAATATGGATTACTAATACCAAGCTGAAAATTGATAAGAGATGTCCAGTTACATTCACCATTGGAAGCTTTAAGGAGACCGTTATGTGTGATGTGTTGCCTCTCAAGCTTTGTCATATACTTTTAAGGCACACTTGGATATGGGATCGTGATGCACAACATGCAAGGCGTGCTAATACTTATTCTTTTGCAATTGGAAAAAAGAAGTATGCTCGCTCTTGTGCTATTGATGCGTATACACTACAATTGAAAAGGAGTTCGTTATTGATTTAGAGAGCTTCTCCATCAAATGGTATTCTTGACACACCTCTTTACTCGCCGGAGTCGAGTTCTTTTCAGCAGGAGAGAATTGATGGCGCAACCATTGGTTGGTTGGACCAATACAATTAATTTTGGAAGTCTAGGAGAAAGATTAAGAATTTTTAGTCCAAAAGGAAGAGTAATTAATAGTTTTATTATTATTATTTGATTTATGAGTATTTGTTTGCCTAGGAATAGTTATTAGAATTTGATTAGAAAATTATTATAGAGTTTTAGTAGTATAGGAGTTTAAGAGTTTGATTATGAAATTCTTTTAGTATTTTAGTAGGAGAATAATTTTTATTTTGGTAGGGAACTTGGCCTATAAATAATGTGCAATCCCAACTATTGTTATTTTTAGAGAGAGTGATATAATAAAGAGTATTTCTCTATGAAAAATTTTGTATATTTCTTGACCTAATCCTTACGAGGTTTGGTATCTCTTCTACTTCTTTCTATTATCTTATTTCTTCTTTCATCCTACATCACATAGTCTACATATAGTGTTTTTTTAACTCTTTTGTATTTAATGAATTTTTTCTTAACAAATATGATGTTAAAAATACAAATGTGTCACATTATTTTTATTTATTAGAAGAAAAAATTGAATCGTGTACTTAAAGTGTACCGACCTAGAAAAAATTTTGAATCCGCCCCTACCCGTATCACGTACCAAAGCGACCCACGATCTAAGTAATATTATACTTAACCAAAAAAATCCCAATAATCATCTTAAGAGAACACTTAGCGAGTAAAACTTTACCTATCAGCTGCCTTCCCGATTTCACCTCCTAGTGCATCAACTTCATGTACTAGTTGAGATTTTGCAGGGCCACCCACCGCTGGATTGCAAGGCTGTATTAAAATGGTCCAAGTAAAAAATACTTTCCATAAATCTAAAACAGCCAAAAAAACTAACTGACATCCCTTTTGAAAATGTAATCAGAGTTTCTATGGTTCTCATGAAAGAACGGTTAGGAATGTTTTCATTTCTTTTCAGCAAAGTGGGATTATAATAACTATAAACTCTGGTCATTAGAAATCCAATGTAATTTTACCATTTCATGCTAATATATGGAAAACAGGGATACAGGCAAGTCATTAAAGGCCTAAGACTTATCAGAAAAATTGAAATGAAGAATTGAAAGAGTGGCCTCAGATTTGTTTAACGTTGAGCACTTATAAAAATTTGTTTTTTTTTAAACCTCAGTTCACACCTAAGGTTCTGCTTAGACCTCTAGAAACTTGATCTCTTCCACGACCAACTAAATTGAAGAAACTGAAATTGCTAGGGACCCTAGCAATAAACTTGATAAAGGTACCAAGGATATAATTTAACAGGAGGATTCTTTACATATTAATTTTATAAAAATCCACACATTCTCAATACTTTGAACTAACCTGCCATGCAATGCGGTCGATATTTAGTGTGAGAAGAAGAGTTTTTGCCCCTAAACGAGCAGATGCAAGAGCAGCTTCACAGCCTGCATGCCCTCCTCCTACCACAATGACATCATATCTTTCATCAGCTCCTTTAACCAGAGTACTCCAGTCTGCAAATCATTTATAATCAGGAATTTTCTCTCATATATGATGGGAACATTTATCACAAAAAAATGAGATTAACATCCTCTCCAGAAAAGTTGATTAAAGATATCAAAAAGAGCCCCAATGAATAAGCCACCCAATAACTTTTCAAAATAGGCAAAAACCTAGAAGCATTCGCTTGATAAGATCATAAAGAAGTCCCAATAAGTCTAAGCCACCTAAGCAAAGATTCTTGAGAACAACAAAAGATGTCGAATGATTAATGTTTTGCCCATTCATATAAAGGAATTTCTTACTCCTAATCCGACACAATAACCGGAAAACATTAGCATTCTTTATTATATCCAAAAAAAATGCTCTTGTTGGATATATTTATTTACTGTTGCATGCATGAAGATACAATGTTGCTTTATCATGTTACTTGGGTGATCACACCCTGTATCTCAATTTGCATGTAGCAACGAGGACGTTAAGCTTTTCCCAGACTGAAAAACGAAGAACAGCACAAGCTAAAAGATGAAGTATAAGAAACAAGTCAAACAACTGAGGATCCATTAACAATTCACTAAGTAGAAATGGTGCATATCCCCTTAAACTTTTCACAGAAGGCAGTTTATGAACAAAATTGCACTCTAATAGGCTCATTGAACAGCTTGCTGGTGTACAACTGATGAGTTTGACATGTATTTAGGGCCTGCCTTTCTTATCAAGTTGCCAAACCACCCAAATTCAGATATACAAGACTTTGTGATCACTGTATTTCTAGATATTTTACCAATAGTGGAATATTACAAAGTAAACATGGTATACTGACCATTCCCACTGTTCATGAGAATTGAAGTTTGCTGAAACAGCATGATTAGAATTATTATTCCAAACTTTTACCCTGTCACTAAATTTAATTCTGCTCTTATCAGGAATAATAGGTCAAACCAAATGTCTCATAAATTGTTATCCTGACTCGAACTTCAATATGCCAAGCCCCTACGTGGCTTGAGCCAAATAAATTACAATTCTACTCTAATTAGCAAAATGTGAACATTTAAAATCCCTATACTTGCTCCTTATCACATGGCATATGCACAAGTTCACTCAACTTCACTTGCCCCACTTCTCATGAGTTGGTAAGATCAATCCTTGTTTTGCCCTTCTTTTCTACAGTGTCACCTTTAAATTCCTAGGCTGATCTCTCCGCTCACTAGCTGAATCCATATCTTCAGTCTAAGTTTAACTCAACAAGACTTGATCCCCAACACTTGAATGTGAAGCCCAACTCACATCTGCTGTCATCTTCCCAATGCTTGCAAAAACCAAGCTGACTGCAGATCATTGATTCACAGTATAAGACTCTAAGCAAACTTTTTTGCATCATGTGCAGAACTGCAGATCCATGTCACAAAAAAAAAAAAAAAATTTTTTCAAGATTACAAACACAGAAATAAGAGGTTACACCAAATAATATAAAATGTACACAATAGATTTTCGCATCCAAAACTAAACATACTAGGTGTGATGAACTGCAGACCACATCAATTTCAAGAAATTTCACCAAAGCATCTATATAAACTCCATTTGGTTCCCAAGAAACAAACCTAAACAGAAAGAAAAAAGAACATCAGGTCTTATGTTTACCACTGTTTTTCTTGACTCAAAACTAAAAACTCAATTCAACAATGTAATCGTGTAGCAATTGGAATAATTCAACACTAACAGTCATTGTTCTCTCAGGCTGACGGTACTACTTCAATATTCAACTTATTTTCCCAAGTATAGCACTATCAAAATGTGTACCTGTACTGAAGCCAATTTTAAGGCTCCATTTGGTTCATGCAATTCATGTATATCTTCTTTTCCTTACGAACATCAATACAACTATACATAAGAATATATAACACCATATACTGTCTTTTTCCTTTCCTTCCTTCTTCTAACTTCCAAATACAGCCTAAGATTTCCAATGTCAAGTTTTTACTTTACTTCCAAAAGTAGCATGGACCATTTTCCACAATTTTCAGCTTATCTATCCCTTATGACCTTCAAGTTGTTCCCCGAGGAAATGCAGGAAAAGTCTAGAACCTACAGTTAAATAAGCCCAATAAAACTATTGATCTTCTTTTCTGACGAAAGTATTTCATCCTGCATTTCCCAGTACTGCGGTGAAATACTCATCCGAACAACCCTTCAGTTTCGAATTTCAATTTGAGGCACCCATTTTGAGCAAGTAATGCCCAACCGTGGTGCCACCAGGTTTTTCCATTTGTGACCTGGAGTTAGACTGGGTAAGGTGCGTACATCTAATCCTCTCCGACCTCCTTTTTTAGTATGTTTACACCCAATCCGCTACAGAAAGCACTTTCTCGGTTTTGTTTCCATTTCATCTTTATAAGTCTTGTATTTCATTTTTCAAATAAAATCATTAACACAAGAAACAAAAGACCCGAATTTGTTGTCTCAAAAATCTTCACGACAAGATAAGATAAACTTTCTCAGAAAACTCACAACCATAACAGAAGAACTTCACCTCTAGAGCTTGAACCGGTGACGGAGAAACTGCGAGGCAATTTGGAGATGAAAAGGCTAAACTTGCGGCCAATGTTGGGGCGAAAGGTGAGGTTTTGATGCCTATGAAGAAGTGGAAACGAGAGAGGGAAGAAGAGAGAAGAGAGAGGGAATTGGCGGGAAATTCGAGAGAGGTGAAGAGCTACGGTGGCCATTCAGATAACTTTGGAGAAATAAGCTTACTCGTTGAAGCGCATGGCTATGGATGTCGGGGAAGATGAGAAGACGAACAGAGTATATGGTAGCTTTTCCCCAAACTCAGCTTCCCCCGACCTGTATTCCCAAAATCAGTCGGTTTTAATTTTATTCCCAAAATCCGTCGGTTTTAATTTTATTTCTCAAATTTAATTTGTATTTAAAAACCTCATTGTTAAAACGTTAATCAAAATGACTATTTTAAATTAAATTTTTTTTTAAAATTATCATTTAAAATGATATATTTAAAGACATAAGTGACAACGACATTAAAAAAAATATTAAAAATGACAATATAACGAACAATAAAAAAACTGGAGGGTAGAAAACATTAACACCATTTCAAGTGACATTTTAAAAAATGCGTAAAAAAAAAATTTCAGCTACTTCTGCTCCAACGAGGAAGATAAAAAATGTACAAACACACTGATATGTGCATTTCGTCTACCCACCATCCATACTTTCAAGCCCATAACGTTTGGCTTTGAAATGTGATTTCTTCAATAAGAAAAATCCATTATCATGTCACAGCTAAAACTTGAGGCTCACATTTGTGTCTTGTTAAAAAAAAATAAAGGTTTATAAGAAATGCAAGATTGGTTGCAATGGGGGTGGCCAAGAACATGCATAAAGTAGGCAATCACATAAAAGAAAGAGTTGATGACATTCTCGATCCCTACCGAAGACGATCGAAGTAAAGAATTCTGATTCTGTATATACACAGAATGAAGAAACTAAGGAAATGACCAGAAACATTGGCAATCATTCACTTTCTTTTCAGTGTATTTTTCCAAGATGAATTGTCTTTAAACCTTTCCTCAATCTTCTTGTACAGCTCCTCTGTGGGTTTTCCAGACCAAAGCCAGATCATAACCACCCTCCCAATTTGCCCATAGGTTAGCTTACCCTTGATGTTTCCACACACCCAACGTATATCCCCCTTTATCTCTCACTCAACACTGTAGTAGAAGCCCTAGGTAATTTTGTCTTCTCCCTCTCTTCCCTCTTCATCCTCCACCCCAATGCAGAATCCGCCTCCCCCATACACACACAACTGTTTGTTAAAATGATGCACATCAACTATTTGTTAAAATGCCTAATACACGCAGCCTTCAATTTTATGTCTGGTATGTGTGGGTTCTGTTTCTTATAGTAGTGGGGGAGTTGTATCAGCAGAAAACTGTAGTTATTGCAGATAGAGAGAGAGAGTGATAGAAGAGTGGGTTGGGGTTTTTAGTTCATGTGGTTTCTTTGTCCAATCCTGAAAGAGGTTTTGATGCTAGTGAACAATATTTCAAGGGAAAAATAAGGTTGGTGAACAATTCAATAGAACACATTTTTGAAAATGTCACTTGTAATGACGTTTTTAAAAACGTCATTTCAAGTGACGTTTTCTACCCACCAATTTTTTTAACGCCTGTTATGTTGCCGTTTTTAATTTATTTTTTTTAACGTCATTTTCACTGACGCCTTTAAATATGTCATTTCAAATGACAATTTAAATACAAAAATTTCAATTTAAAATTGTCATTTTGAATTATGTTTTAATCCATGAAGGCATCATTCTAAATGACGTTTTTAAAAATAGACTAGATTTGGGAAATAAGTTTAAAACTGACTGGGTTTGGGAATAAAGTTTGTGGGGTGGCTGGGTTTGGGGAAAAGCTCAAGTATATGGTGGTTGGCGTTTTATGAGAGTTGAGGTTTATAACACATTAGGTAATTGATGGGACACTTAAGAGTCGGCCAAAACTCGACACCTATTCTTGGCATCAAAAACGTGGAAGTATAAAAGATTGACACGTGTCCTTGACATCTTTCTCTTAGAATACTTTTATTGAGACATTTGTTCTCGACGTCAGAGATCCCTCGGATCCATCTGAGTGGGACACATGTCCTAGNAATTTGTTGTTGTGGTTGAAAAGGAAAATTTCAAGGTGCATAATGATTCTAATGAACCAAAATTTGAAACAAAGATCGTAGAACCTCTTGATGTGGGTGAGGTAAATTTTGATGATTTAAATGATGATTATTTTGTGAATGTCCGTCCCCTACTTATTCCAAATAAAAAAGTTGCTAATGGTGAGTTTATTTATTGAAGAAAAATATTTCAGACAAGAGTTTGTTGTGAAGGACAGATATGCGCGTGAGTGATTGACACGACAAGTCCCACAAATGTGGTATCAGAAGAGGTCATGAAGAAACTAAATTTAAAAGTTGAACCATATCATGTAATATGGATTACTAATACCAAGCTGAAAATTGATAAGAGATGTCCAGTTACATTCACCATTGGAAGCTTTAAGGAGACCGTTATGTGTGATGTGTTGCCTCTCAAGCTTTGTCATATACTTTTAAGGCACACTTGGATATGGGATCGTGATGCACAACATGCAAGGCGTGCTAATACTTATTCTTTTGCAATTGGAAAAAAGAAGTATGCTCGCTCTTGTGCTATTGATGCGTATACACTACAATTGAAAAGGAGTTCGTTATTGATTTAGAGAGCTTCTCCATCAAATGGTATTCTTGACACACCTCTTTACTCGCCGGAGTCGAGTTCTTTTCAGCAGGAGAGAATTGATGGCGCAACCATTGGTTGGTTGGACCAATACAATTAATTTTGGAAGTCTAGGAGAAAGATTAAGAATTTTTAGTCCAAAAGGAAGAGTAATTAATAGTTTTATTATTATTATTTGATTTATGAGTATTTGTTTGCCTAGGAATAGTTATTAGAATTTGATTAGAAAATTATTATAGAGTTTTAGTAGTATAGGAGTTTAAGAGTTTGATTATGAAATTCTTTTAGTATTTTAGTAGGAGAATAATTTTTATTTTGGTAGGGAACTTGGCCTATAAATAATGTGCAATCCCAACTATTGTTATTTTTAGAGAGAGTGATATAATAAAGAGTATTTCTCTATGAAAAATTTTGTATATTTCTTGACCTAATCCTTACGAGGTTTGGTATCTCTTCTACTTCTTTCTATTATCTTATTTCTTCTTTCATCCTACATCACATAGTCTACATATAGTGTTTTTTTAACTCTTTTGTATTTAATGAATTTTTTCTTAACAAATATGATGTTAAAAATACAAATGTGTCACATTATTTTTATTTATTAGAAGAAAAAATTGAATCGTGTACTTAAAGTGTACCGACCTAGAAAAAATTTTGAATCCGCCCCTACCCGTATCACGTACCAAAGCGACCCACGATCTAAGTAATATTATACTTAACCAAAAAAATCCCAATAATCATCTTAAGAGAACACTTAGCGAGTAAAACTTTACCTATCAGCTGCCTTCCCGATTTCACCTCCTAGTGCATCAACTTCATGTACTAGTTGAGATTTTGCAGGGCCACCCACCGCTGGATTGCAAGGCTGTATTAAAATGGTCCAAGTAAAAAATACTTTCCATAAATCTAAAACAGCCAAAAAAACTAACTGACATCCCTTTTGAAAATGTAATCAGAGTTTCTATGGTTCTCATGAAAGAACGGTTAGGAATGTTTTCATTTCTTTTCAGCAAAGTGGGATTATAATAACTATAAACTCTGGTCATTAGAAATCCAATGTAATTTTACCATTTCATGCTAATATATGGAAAACAGGGATACAGGCAAGTCATTAAAGGCCTAAGACTTATCAGAAAAATTGAAATGAAGAATTGAAAGAGTGGCCTCAGATTTGTTTAACGTTGAGCACTTATAAAAATTTGTTTTTTTTTAAACCTCAGTTCACACCTAAGGTTCTGCTTAGACCTCTAGAAACTTGATCTCTTCCACGACCAACTAAATTGAAGAAACTGAAATTGCTAGGGACCCTAGCAATAAACTTGATAAAGGTACCAAGGATATAATTTAACAGGAGGATTCTTTACATATTAATTTTATAAAAATCCACACATTCTCAATACTTTGAACTAACCTGCCATGCAATGCGGTCGATATTTAGTGTGAGAAGAAGAGTTTTTGCCCCTAAACGAGCAGATGCAAGAGCAGCTTCACAGCCTGCATGCCCTCCTCCTACCACAATGACATCATATCTTTCATCAGCTCCTTCAACCAGAGTACTCCAGTCTGCAAATCATTTATAATCAGGAATTTTCTCTCATATATGATGGGAACATTTATCACAAAAAAATGAGATTAACATCCTCTCCAGAAAAGTTGATTAAAGATATCAAAAAGAGCCCCAATGAATAAGCCACCCAATAACTTTTCAAAATAGGCAAAAACCTAGAAGCATTCGCTTGATAAGATCATAAAGAAGTCCCAATAAGTCTAAGCCACCTAAGCAAAGATTCTTGAGAACAACAAAAGATGTCGAATGATTAATGTTTTGCCCATTCATATAAAGGAATTTCTTACTCCTAATCCGACACAATAACCGGAAAACATTAGCATTCTTTATTATATCCAAAAAAAATGCTCTTGTTGGATATATTTATTTACTGTTGCATGCATGAAGATACAATGTTGCTTTATCATGTTACTTGGGTGATCACACCCTGTATCTCAATTTGCATGTAGCAACGAGGACGTTAAGCTTTTCCCAGACTGAAAAACGAAGAACAGCACAAGCTAAAAGATGAAGTATAAGAAACAAGTCAAACAACTGAGGATCCATTAACAATTCACTAAGTAGAAATGGTGCATATCCCCTTAAACTTTTCACAGAAGGCAGTTTATGAACAAAATTGCACTCTAATAGGCTCATTGAACAGCTTGCTGGTGTACAACTGATGAGTTTGACATGTATTTAGGGCCTGCCTTTCTTATCAAGTTGCCAAACCACCCAAATTCAGATATACAAGACTTTGTGATCACTGTATTTCTAGATATTTTACCAATAGTGGAATATTACAAAGTAAACATGGTATACTGACCATTCCCACTGTTCATGAGAATTGAAGTTTGCTGAAACAGCATGATTAGAATTATTATTCCAAACTTTTACCCTGTCACTAAATTTAATTCTGCTCTTATCAGGAATAATAGGTCAAACCAAATGTCTCATAAATTGTTATCCTGACTCGAACTTCAATATGCCAAGCCCCTACGTGGCTTGAGCCAAATAAATTACAATTCTACTCTAATTAGCAAAATGTGAACATTTAAAATCCCTATACTTGCTCCTTATCACATGGCATATGCACAAGTTCACTCAACTTCACTTGCCCCACTTCTCATGAGTTGGTAAGATCAATCCTTGTTTTGCCCTTCTTTTCTACAGTGTCACCTTTAAATTCCTAGGCTGATCTCTCCGCTCACTAGCTGAATCCATATCTTCAGTCTAAATTTAACTCAACAAGACTTGATCCCCAACACTTGAATGTGAAGCCCAACTCACATCTGCTGTCATCTTCCCAATGCTTGCAAAAACCAAGCTGACTGCAGATCATTGATTCACAGTATAAGACTCTAAGCAAACTTTTTTGCATCATGTGCAGAACTGCAGATCCATGTCACAAAAAAAAAAAAAAAATCTTTTCAAGATTACAAACACAGAAATAAGAGGTTACACCAAATAATATAAAATGTACACAATAGATTTTCGCATCCAAAACTAAACATACTAGGTGTGATGAACTGCAGACCACATCAATTTCAAGAAATTTCACCAAAGCATCTATATAAACTCCATTTGGTTCCCAAGAAACAAACCTAAACAGAAAGAAAAAAGAACATCAGGTCTTATGTTTACCACTGTTTTTCTTGACTCAAAACTAAAAACTCAATTCAACAATGTAATCGTGTAGCAATTGGAATAATTCAACACTAACAGTCATTGTTCTCTCAGGCTGACGGTACTACTTCAATATTCAACTTATTTTCCCAAGTATAGCACTATCAAAATGTGTACCTGTACTGAAGCCAATTTTAAGGCTCCATTTGGTTCATGCAATTCATGTATATCTTCTTTTCCTTACGAACATCAATACAACTATACATAAGAATATATAACACCATATACTGTCTTTTTCCTTTCCTTCCTTCTTCTAACTTCCAAATACAGCCTAAGATTTCCAATGTCAAGTTTTTACTTTACTTCCAAAAGTAGCATGGACCATTTTCCACAATTTTCAGCTTATCTATCCCTTATGACCTTCAAGTTGTTCCCCGAGGAAATGCAGGAAAAGTCTAGAACCTACAGTTAAATAAGCCCAATAAAACTATTGATCTTCTTTTCTGACGAAAGTATTTCATCCTGCATTTCCCAGTACTGCGGTGAAATACTCATCCGAACAACCCTTCAGTTTCGAATTTCAATTTGAGGCACCCATTTTGAGCAAGTAATGCCCAACCGTGGTGCCACCAGGTTTTTCCATTTGTGACCTGGAGTTAGACTGGGTAAGGTGCGTACATCTAATCCTCTCCGACCTCCTTTTTTAGTATGTTTACACCCAATCCGCTACAGAAAGCACTTTCTCGGTTTTGTTTCCATTTCATCTTTATAAGTCTTGTATTTCATTTTTCAAATAAAATCATTAACACAAGAAACAAAAGACCCGAATTTGTTGTCTCAAAAATCTTCACGACAAGATAAGATAAACTTTCTCAGAAAACTCACAACCATAACAGAAGAACTTCACCTCTAGAGCTTGAAGCGGTGACGGAGAAACTGCGAGGCAATTTGGAGATGAAAAGGCTAAACTTGCGGCCAATGTTGGGGCGAAAGGTGAGGTTTTGATGCTTATGAAGAAGTGGAAACGAGAGAGGGAAGAAGAGAGAAGAGAGAGGGAATTGGCGGGAAATTCGAGAGAGGTGAAGAGCTACGGTGGCCATTCAGATAACTTTGGAGAAATAAGCTTACTCGTTGAAGCGCATGGCTATGGATGTCGGGGAAGATGAGAAGACGAACAGAGTATATGGTAGCTTTTCCCCAAACTCAGCTTCCCCCGACCTGTATTCCCAAAATCAGTCGGTTTTAATTTTATTCCCAAAATCCGTCGGTTTTAATGTTATTTCTCAAATTTAATTTGTATTTAAAAACCTCATTGTTAAAACGTTAATCAAAATGACTATTTTAAATTAATTTTTTTTTTAAAATTATCATTTAAAATGATATATTTAAAGACATAAGTGACAACGACATTAAAAAAAATATTAAAAATGACAATATAACGAACAATAAAAAAACTGGAGGGTAGAAAACATTAACACCATTTCAAGTGACATTTTAAAAAATGCGTAAAAAAAAAATTTCAGCTACTTCTGCTCCAACGAGGAAGATAAAAAATGTACAAACACACTGATATGTGCATTTCGTCTACCCACCATCCATACTTTCAAGCCCATAACGTTTGGCTTTGAAATGTGATTTCTTCAATAAGAAAAATCCATTATCATGTCACAGCTAAAACTTGAGGCTCACATTTGTGTCTTGTTAAAAAAAAATAAAGGTTTATAAGAAATGCAAGATTGGTTGCAATGGGGGTGGCCAAGAACATGCATAAAGTAGGCAATCACATAAAAGAAAGAGTTGATGACATTCTCGATCCCTACCGAAGACGATCGAAGTAAAGAATTCTGATTCTGTATATACACAGAATGAAGAAACCAAGAAAATGACCAGAAACATTGGCAATCATTCACTTTCTTTTCAGTGTATTTTTCCAAGATGAATTGTCTTTAAACCTTTCCTCAATCTTCTTGTACAGCTCCTCTGTGGGTTTTCCAGACCAAAGCCAGATCATAACCACCCTCCCAATTTGCCCATAGGTTAGCTTACCCTTGATGTTTCCACACACCCAACGTATATCCCCCTTTATCTCTCACTCAACACTGTAGTAGAAGCCCTAGGTAATTTTGTCTTCTCCCTCTCTTCCCTCTTCATCCTCCACCCCAATGCAGAATCCCCCTCCCCCATACACACACAACTGTTTGTTAAAATGATGCACATCAACTATTTGTTAAAATGCCTAATACACGCAGCCTTCAATTTTATGTCTGGTATGTGTGGGTTCTGTTTCTTATAGTAGTGGGGGAGTTGTATCAGCAGAAAACTGTAGTTATTGCAGATAGAGAGAGAGAGTGATAGAAGAGTGGGTTGGGGTTTTTAGTTCATGTGGTTTCTTTGTCCAATCCTGAAAGAGGTTTTGATGCTAGTGAACAATATTTCAAGGGAAAAATAAGGTTGGTGAACAATTCAATAGAACACATTTTTGAAAATGTCACTTGTAATGACGTTTTTAAAAACGTCATTTCAAGTGACGTTTTCTACCCACCAATTTTTTTAACGCCTGTTATGTTGCCGTTTTTAATTTATTTTTTTTAACGTCATTTTCACTGACGCCTTTAAATATGTCATTTCAAATGACAATTTAAATACAAAAATTTCAATTTAAAATTGTCATTTTGAATTATGTTTTAATCCATGAAGGCATCATTCTAAATGACGTTTTTAAAAATAGACTAGATTTGGGAAATAAGTTTAAAACTGACTGGGTTTGGGAATAAAGTTTGTGGGGTGGCTGGGTTTGGGGAAAAGCTCAAGTATATGGTGGTTGGCGTTTTATGAGAGTTGAGGTTTATAACACATTAGGTAATTGATGGGACACTTAAGAGTCGGCCAAAACTCGACACCTATTCTTGGCATCAAAAACGTGGAAGTATAAAAGATTGACACGTGTCCTTGACATCTTTCTCTTAGAATACTTTTATTGAGACATTTGTTCTCGACGTCAGAGATCCCTCGGATCCATCTGAGTGGGACACATGTCCTAGGCATTAAAGGTCCCTCGGACTTTGCTTGAATTTGGACACGTGTTCTCAATGTGATTGACTCCCCCGAGGTCTATTTCTAGACACGTCACTTTGATTCTAGGANCGGCATTAAAGGTCCCTCGGACTTTGCTTGAATTTGGACACGTGTCCTCAATGTGATTGACTCCCCCGAGGTCTATTTCTAGACACGTCACTTTGATTCTAGGACCCCGAAGCAGAGGTGTTAGAATGACGACTTTCGTTACTTGGAGTTGAACTTGGTCAATAATCATTGACTTCTCTTCTCAAAGCAATCAGAATTGACAAAGGGGAAAGACCCACAACCAATTACTATGTTACACGTGGCAAAGTGCACAAAACCAGGGGCCAAAAGATGAAGATGCCCCTACTCATGTGCAACCATCACAGGAGAGCATTTAATGATCCCTCAGAAAGATAAGAAGTAGTTAAAACTTGAAAAACCCAAGAAAGAAGAGCATTAAGTGCTCGGGAGCCCGAGCAGTCAATGCTTGAACCCCTTCCACGCAAAATGGAAGGTGTTCTGTCTAAGGACTGAGCACCGCCCACTACCTCCCAAATGGACCAATGGGGAGTCCCTTGTTCAAGGGGCCCACTTGCCAGTAACGGTGACCTCTATGATGGTATAAATAGTTCTCTAAAACTCAAAGCAATGGTACGAGAGATTGATTCTCAGTAATACAACAATGTTTTTCACCCCTTTCTCACACATACTGACTTGACCGTCAGAGGCGTCACGCCGAAAAATACTCTAGCACCCTTCTAACTCTTTTTATTGAGTGACAGATTCCTCCTCGACTCGCCAGAATTGCGTGGATAGTTGACAAAATAATTCATCACCACTCCTTAGGATTCTTCTCACATCCCGCTACCTCGGGATCCTCATTTTATTGTGCAAAAATGATCGCATATAGTTTGGCGCCATCTGTGAGAAATGATTGAGTTTTCTTGAGACAGTGACTATGGTGAACACTCATTTAAAAGGAAAGGGTCCTCANACCCGCTACCTCGGGATCCTCATTTTATTGTGCAAAAATGATCGCATATAGTTTGGCGCCATCTATGAGAAATGATCGAGTTTTCTTGAGACAGTGACTATGGTGAACACTCATTTAAAAGGAAAGGGTCCTCAGCAAAGAAACGTCAATGCATTGGCTCCTTCCATATCAAAAATGGAGGATTGTGTTGAAAGTGTCAATAAAGAAATCTCCATCCATTCCAGAGAAAAACCCTACCAAACTGAACTAAGTCTGGGGGTANCCTGCCTTTCTTATCAAGTTGCCAAACCACCCAAATTCAGATATACAAGACTTTGTGATCACTGTATTTCTAGATATTTTACCAATAGTGGAATATTACAAAGTAAACATGGTATACTGACCATTCCCACTGTTCATGAGAATTGAAGTTTGCTGAAACAGCATGATTAGAATTATTATTCCAAACTTTTACCCTGTCACTAAATTTAATTCTGCTCTTATCAGGAATAATAGGTCAAACCAAATGTCTCATAAATTGTTATCCTGACTCGAACTTCAATATGCCAAGCCCCTACGTGGCTTGAGCCAAATAAATTACAATTCTACTCTAATTAGCAAAATGTGAACATTTAAAATCCCTATACTTGCTCCTTATCACATGGCATATGCACAAGTTCACTCAACTTCACTTGCCCCACTTCTCATGAGTTGGTAAGATCAATCCTTGTTTTGCCCTTCTTTTCTACAGTGTCACCTTTAAATTCCTAGGCTGATCTCTCCGCTCACTAGCTGAATCCATATCTTCAGTCTAAATTTAACTCAACAAGACTTGATCCCCAACACTTGAATGTGAAGCCCAACTCACATCTGCTGTCATCTTCCCAATGCTTGCAAAAACCAAGCTGACTGCAGATCATTGATTCACAGTATAAGACTCTAAGCAAACTTTTTTGCATCATGTGCAGAACTGCAGATCCATGTCACAAAAAAAAAAAAAAAATCTTTTCAAGATTACAAACACAGAAATAAGAGGTTACACCAAATAATATAAAATGTACACAATAGATTTTCGCATCCAAAACTAAACATACTAGGTGTGATGAACTGCAGACCACATCAATTTCAAGAAATTTCACCAAAGCATCTATATAAACTCCATTTGGTTCCCAAGAAACAAACCTAAACAGAAAGAAAAAAGAACATCAGGTCTTATGTTTACCACTGTTTTTCTTGACTCAAAACTAAAAACTCAATTCAACAATGTAATCGTGTAGCAATTGGAATAATTCAACACTAACAGTCATTGTTCTCTCAGGCTGACGGTACTACTTCAATATTCAACTTATTTTCCCAAGTATAGCACTATCAAAATGTGTACCTGTACTGAAGCCAATTTTAAGGCTCCATTTGGTTCATGCAATTCATGTATATCTTCTTTTCCTTACGAACATCAATACAACTATACATAAGAATATATAACACCATATACTGTCTTTTTCCTTTCCTTCCTTCTTCTAACTTCCAAATACAGCCTAAGATTTCCAATGTCAAGTTTTTACTTTACTTCCAAAAGTAGCATGGACCATTTTCCACAATTTTCAGCTTATCTATCCCTTATGACCTTCAAGTTGTTCCCCGAGGAAATGCAGGAAAAGTCTAGAACCTACAGTTAAATAAGCCCAATAAAACTATTGATCTTCTTTTCTGACGAAAGTATTTCATCCTGCATTTCCCAGTACTGCGGTGAAATACTCATCCGAACAACCCTTCAGTTTCGAATTTCAATTTGAGGCACCCATTTTGAGCAAGTAATGCCCAACCGTGGTGCCACCAGGTTTTTCCATTTGTGACCTGGAGTTAGACTGGGTAAGGTGCGTACATCTAATCCTCTCCGACCTCCTTTTTTAGTATGTTTACACCCAATCCGCTACAGAAAGCACTTTCTCGGTTTTGTTTCCATTTCATCTTTATAAGTCTTGTATTTCATTTTTCAAATAAAATCATTAACACAAGAAACAAAAGACCCGAATTTGTTGTCTCAAAAATCTTCACGACAAGATAAGATAAACTTTCTCAGAAAACTCACAACCATAACAGAAGAACTTCACCTCTAGAGCTTGAACCGGTGACGGAGAAACTGCGAGGCAATTTGGAGATGAAAAGGCTAAACTTGCGGCCAATGTTGGGGCGAAAGGTGAGGTTTTGATGCCTATGAAGAAGTGGAAACGAGAGAGGGAAGAAGAGAGAAGAGAGAGGGAATTGGCGGGAAATTCGAGAGAGGTGAAGAGCTACGGTGGCCATTCAGATAACTTTGGAGAAATAAGCTTACTCGTTGAAGCGCATGGCTATGGATGTCGGGGAAGATGAGAAGACGAACAGAGTATATGGTAGCTTTTCCCCAAACTCAGCTTCCCCCGACCTGTATTCCCAAAATCAGTCGGTTTTAATTTTATTCCCAAAATCCGTCGGTTTTAATTTTATTTCTCAAATTTAATTTGTATTTAAAAACCTCATTGTTAAAACGTTAATCAAAATGACTATTTTAAATTAAATTTTTTTTTAAAATTATCATTTAAAATGATATATTTAAAGACATAAGTGACAACGACATTAAAAAAAATATTAAAAATGACAATATAACGAACAATAAAAAAACTGGAGGGTAGAAAACATTAACACCATTTCAAGTGACATTTTAAAAAATGCGTAAAAAAAAAATTTCAGCTACTTCTGCTCCAACGAGGAAGATAAAAAATGTACAAACACACTGATATGTGCATTTCGTCTACCCACCATCCATACTTTCAAGCCCATAACGTTTGGCTTTGAAATGTGATTTCTTCAATAAGAAAAATCCATTATCATGTCACAGCTAAAACTTGAGGCTCACATTTGTGTCTTGTTAAAAAAAAATAAAGGTTTATAAGAAATGCAAGATTGGTTGCAATGGGGGTGGCCAAGAACATGCATAA